TCTTTGGTTTCCAAGTTCTCTTGGAAGATGGATATTGTCAGATTTGCTTGTAGATTAATAAAGTGAAAACCTCATTTACTAAATTAAAAAGACTAATTTTAATCACCCAGTGTTTGTTTACTTACTGTTTTTTTATCAACACAACATAAAAATCTACAGACATTATTATGATCCTTCTCTTACCATAATATGCTTGCATTGTGTTGTTTCTTGCACGTATAAACAGACCTCGTGTGTTGTGACCCCTCAACGCTGCTTGCGGCTCCCTTCCTTCTCTGCAGCAAACACAGACACCTGCATGGCTCCAGTGGTGGAAGGTAATGAAGTAAATGTAGTACTGAAGTACTGTACTTAAGTAAAATGCAGGTTTCTGTCATTTTAGATTTTAAAGTGTGTCTGTACTTTCTACTCTACTACATTTCTGAACACGACGGAAAAGTAAAAGTATAGGGTTTTTTTTAGGGTTTATTTTTTAAAACATTTGTAGTCAGACCAAACAAAACTATATAAATAAAAACAGCTAGAAAACACTAACTGATTCAGTTGTTTCTATACTGAACAAAAGTCAGCACAAATCAACAAAATATGCACAAAATACTTTTATTTTTTACTCTTAAAGTAGATTTTTTTTGTATGATATTTTTACTTAACTTCAGTTTTGTTTTTGTTTTTCTCTGGTGTCTGTATACTTGTATTGTGTAGGTGTATTATGTAACTTTTCTGTTGAAGAGTCCATTAAATTATTTTCTCCATGGAGATGTTATTGCTTTGTCTGTAATGTTTCACAGTATGGCAATAAACCTTTCTATCTTCATGGAGACCAAACCCGAAAACCAGGTTAGAGGTCAGATGAATGTAAGGTAGAGATGTTTAATTCCCAAATCAAAAAGTGCACCTTAAAGTAACCAAATTGAGTACATTTTCTACCACTGCATGGCTCTAAACGTTAAGGTCCACAGTTCCACTCTCCAGCTCTCCTGACAGGGGGATACTGCTAATTACTGTCAGCAAGTCTAATTAATGTCAAACCTGCTGGAGCCCACAGGAAACCGCAGTCTGTTAGCGCCACACTGGATAAACAAAGCAGAATGAACTCAAAGATAGCTAATTATTGTGGGTAGCTCGACTTTACTTTAGAGAAGAGAATGCATCATGACGTGAGGGGAGATTGTATTTGCCAGTTTGTACTGAGGCTTTTAACGCCATGTGAATTCTGTGGTCCTCTGTGTCTTTTATTGATTTTTGTTTTTTACCTTTTTATTTATTGGTATTTTTGCTCTAATTTGATTTTACCAGTTTTATTGTCTTAACAAGGACTAGTAGAGTTAAACAGGCCTTCATTTTATGTTTCCAATGTATTGTTTTATCTGCATTGTGCAGCATTTTGGAAACGGTTTTGTTTATGAAATGTGCAATATATAGATAAAGAGGATTGTAGTGAGTTTGTTAATAAAGAAATAATATCAAGAGTCAAAGGTAATCCGAAGCCTAGTTTTGGAGGAGATTTTGAATGTTTTGAGATATCGACTTGTTTTGTTTTGACTTTATTACAACATAAATTTCCTTTATTACAACATAAATTATCACTGAACATCACTGAAAAACAATCAGACTTTATTTTAGATTAGATAATACTATTTTCAAGTTGCTTTTAGAGAAATGCAGATCAAGCCAACTTTGTAATATGTGAATAATGGTGTTAAGAGCTCAGATGTTATCACACTTTTTGTTTTGTAAACCAAAAATCTGCAATAATAACTCATGTTTATGTAATTAATACAGCACATAAACTAAAATCTAACCAAGTTAAGATGACTTGAATTAGGAAAGATTCATCATGATCTGAGTAAATTTCACTTGGCAAGTAAAATTATCCTTTAATGGAACAAGAGCTTTTGGACTTAAAATATGGAAATACATGCTGCAGTACTTAAGATAAGAAAAACAACAGCTCTTTGCCCTCGGAGTAGAGTCGACGCTGCACCTCCCTCTCTCAGCTGGCCTGGGAACGCCTTGGGGTCCCCCCCGGAGGAGCTGGAGGAAGTGTCCTGGGTGAGGAAGTCTGGGAGTCCCCGCTTAGACAGCTGCCCCCACGACTCGACCCTGGGTAAGCAGAAGAAAATGGATGGATGGGCACTTTGATTTGTAGATGATTTTACTTGTCAAGTTTAATCTACACAAAAGTAAAATGTTATGTAAAATGTAAAATTTAAGTAATTTTAACTTACATCGATATGTTTTTTTTGCAGTGAAGATTTACCTTACTAGTTCCAACAACATATGGCTCTTAAGTGCCATATCTGACCACCATCAGAGTTGTGGTGGTTTAATATTATTATTATTATTACACATTAACACATTTTTCAAGGCAAGATGTTTTTGTTTTGGGGTTTTTTGCCATTATGTATTTGTTGTTGTTGTTTTATTTGAGATTGAACCTTCTGACCTCAGCTAGGCCCTTACATGTGCTGTTCTGAAAAAGGCACTCCTGTTCAAAGTTGCTCACATGTTTCATATTTTATTTAATACGTCTTACACAATCTCTATATGGTATAGCTGAAATAGATGTCCACTGGTCTTCACACTTGTGTTTACAGTGTATAAAATATACATAAAATGCTTTTTTTGGTGTTGGAGGTGGAGATTATGTCATACAGATTGCTAGACTGAAAATAAAACTACCCATAACTATAGTTTCACCGTACCTACACCTGACTGGCAGAAATTAAAGTTAATTTATTATCCACCAAACACATCGTGATAGGACTCATTGCTCATTCACATGAATTCTAAACCAGGTCTAACTTGCTTTGTATTCATCAAAACAATATTTTGGATCATAAAGGTTCCTATGTTTTACTGTTTTGATGAGCTCAGACTACATGGAGAGAGGTGACAGCTATGGTAGTTTTCCAAAGAGGATTAATAAACACCTCAATATTCACTGACTCATAAGGATACTTTAACACCAAGAATTGTGTGAGATTGGTTGACGATGTAAGGGCTGTTGATCAATGTTGGTCACATTTATATATAGCGCTTTTCCACCTATTTACATCAAGGAACCACTCACCCATTCACACACATTCATACACCAGTGCACACAGACACTGGGGGTGAGTGTCTTGTCCAAGGACACAACAGCAGCATTTGTCACAATAATACTGATATTAAGCACATCACAAATCCACTGGTGACCAATTGCATCATTGCAAATGTGATTTAGGCCTCTTATCTGCGCCTCTCCCTGCTCTCACCTCCAATGTCTGCATACGGAGAAGGCAAGGATTTTACTGGAGTTAGTGGGAAATTATTAGTCTCCAAATTTCTGGTAGCTCCTATGTCTGGGGTACTACATTAAGAATTGTATGTAGTAACTTTGTCCACATATAAACTCAAACACAATTAGATTCATTCTGGGTTCTATCTGTATTATAAGATCTCTCAGTCTGATCAGCACCTCCTCCTCTGAGTCTCAACTCAAACAGGATTCAATTGTACTTTTATCATTAAATACAAAATCACATTTTCTCACCTCAGATTAACAATGTTTTAGGCTCTGCTCAGTGATTCTGTGTAAATATGTTTTGTTGAGAATTTATGAAAAGGTTAGTTTGAAACACAGCCTTAATTAGCTATAATGGAATAAAAGAAGAACTTCCTGAATCAGTTGGTTAAATGGGTGAGTAAGGTGATTGGCCATCCTCAGAGCCGCCTGGACTCTCTGTACTCAAGACAGTTACAGAGGATGTCCCAGAGGATTTTAGAAGACGTGCAACATCCACTAAATTCAGAGTTTCAGCTGCTTCCCTCCGGTCAGAGGCTTTTAGTCCCAAGATCTAGAACAAATCGTTTTAAAAGGAGCTTTGTTCCAGCTGCTATCATACTTATGAATAAATTTTAATTTATTGTGTGTTTTTTAATAGAGTTAATATATATTGTGCCTTTTTTTAGCCAAGTGTGATGGCTGAATTTAACTAATTGTTTAGGGAACAACCACTCTGCACCGGAGCATTGTAACACTTTATTTTGTAATTGTGTTTTTTATACATATGTATTGTACAAAATGTGGATGAATGAGATGTGGAATGTGGGACCTGCCTCTCAAATCTGCAAAACAAATTTACCTACGGGTATGAATAAAGCAACATACCTAACCTACCTACCTAAAAGACTTATTCAAACATGCTTCTAACTTTTTCCCCAATTTCAATCTATGCTTTAACTCCAAATAATGTTTAAAGGTACACTAAGTAACATCTGCGGTGGAACTGATTGTCTCCATGGACATGTTATTGCTTTCACCTGCATTGTTTCACCGTATGCATTAAATTTCTCAACCTTTCCAGGCAAAACAACAAACAGATGGCAGACTCTCCACTGGAAAAGTTACGTAGTGCACCTTTAAAATATATATATATATATATATATATATATATATATATATATATATATATATATATATATATATATATATATTTTTTTTTTTTTTTTTTTTTTTTTTTTTTTAAGTTAAAACTTGAAAAATAAAGGCATTCTTATTTCAGTGGGCAAGAACAGTGCCTTATCGATTCCCTCATCTCTATGACATCTTATATCGCCCTCGTTTAAAACGTGCAAAATATGCGGAAAATGTCGTACTGTGACGCATCTTGAGCCTTTATAACAGTCTGCATAAAGTCATGGTTAGTGATAAAGATCTAGCCTCTTCTGGGAACACGTGTTACATTCACTGAAAGAAACAACACGCCAGAGTACACATGCAAGTGGGGCTGTGTGCAGTACTGTCAACACCGCAAACCAGCTGACCGAGGAGGATGAGGAGGAGGAGGCGGGCGCGCGGGGAAAGGAACAGCCCCTATTGGCAGTTCCCATGGCTACGGAGGCGGGACAAAGGTAGGGATTGGTAGAGGAGGAGTTTGTTTGGTTATAAAATAATTGTCAGTGGCTGTCTCTTCTGCTGGCTTGCTTGCTTGCTCTTTATCTGTGCATGGCTCTATAGAAATCAGTCGGACATTATAGAAGACATCGCTGCGTGCGTGACTCTGCGCGCGCTCTCCCTGCTTGTTTTCCTTGGGCATTCGCGCCACGTCCCCTCCGCTGCGTCTTGTGGACTTATCTGATGTGAGAGGGGAAGCCTGCAGCCAGTCAGACCTGCTCCACTGTGGATGACTACTGCTCATCTGTAAGTTATTTCTCCCTTCTCATTATAAAGCTATTGGGGATACCTCAGTGGACGGGGGTTAGGAGGTCACTCAGGTAATGCCTAATTAGTGCTTGATGTGCTAGGCTATTTGTGCTGCTCTAATCACATATCTATCTACAGTTGAGCAGTTACAGAGAATTACATAGAGGGTGCTCGTTGCAGGCTTCAATGAATGGATAATGTTGCATCAAACTGAATTAATTAATATGCAAATTTCAGCAAGCTAAGACTGAGATGATTTTCAATTCACACCTTACGTATGAAAGCGTGTCACTGTTTGATAACACTTTAGTTTAGGGACAACATATTAATTGCTAATGAAATGTATAATAAGTACTTAATTGCTTGTTAGTATTTATAAAGTACTTTCAGTGCATTTTTGTCAATGTTAGCAGTAGTTTGCAAGCACTGTTTTCTTACCATTAAAGGTGCATTGTACAACTTTTCTTGTGGAGGTTCTGCTGCTTGCTTTTCTCCATGGAGATGTTATTGCTTTGCCTGGAATGTTCCATGGTGCAACTTTATTTCCATCTACCTTTTTTTTTTATTTCAGGTGTTATATTTCTCAAAAGTACAATAATTTCTTCTGTGAATAGGAGCGACTGTCCACAGATCTGAATTGTAATGTAGTGTAGTGCTGTAACCTGCTTGTCTCCCTCGTGATAGATAGGTTTAATGTATACTATGGAACATTTAGACAAAGCAACAACATTTCCATGGAGACAAGCAGATCATATATGAAAGTAGTGGTGATTACAATAAATGTTTTGTACATACATTGAAATACCAATTAGCACTTAGCGATTAGTATGTGGTGCATTGTGTAACTTTTCTGGTGGAGGGTCCATCAAATGCTTTTCTTCATGGAAATGTTATTGCTTTGTCTGGAATGTTTCACAGTATGACATTAAACCTTTCTATCTTCAGGAAGACCAAAGCAAACCAAGTTACAGGTCAGATCTGTGGATAGACAGTCAAAGTGCCTGTTTTTGTAGGTATTTTTGAGCTATAAAACTACCTGTAATTTAATACATGTAAAGAAGAGCTGTTTAATGCCATACTGCGGAACATTCTAGGCAGAGTAATGACATATCCACAGAAACAAGCGGGTGATGGGCCCCCAAACAGTTACACAGTGCACCTTTAAGTTTTTCTTTCATTGTTTTAATAGAAATTCAAACTTTTGCCTGCTTGTTCCTCAGATTGTATGCCCATTGGTAAATACTGTAGCTCTACATCTTAACTTCGTCTGACTGTCTGCAGTAACTGTCTTTGGCTCAGTCCTCACATGTGCGCAGAGGCAGCGGTAGTAGTTAGTTAGTTATGTCACAAATGCACACAAGTCTAACTGCAGCCACTGTACACAGGGCTGTGTACACAGAGCTGCAGCGGGCGGCAAAACAGGTTCCCCTTTCCATTTGAAGTCATGTATTGTGGATGCACAGTTCAAAGTTCAAAGTCACTAAAATGTTGTGTTGCAACATTGATGAACATAGTAAGAGTAAAAATATGCAAAAATGGCAACTCTCGAAGGTGTATTGTATTGTAAAGTCAGATTTTGAGTCACCATTTTGTTTCATGTTTAAGTTGACAAGAAAAGGGACAGATGATTGATTATAATTATGATCATTATATTATGATTTTTTCATTCAGCCATGTTTGAGTAACCCTTTATTTTTAGTCTGTCATCAACTTAACAGCTGCTACCTTTTGCCTTTTGTGCAGTAGAGATGGGTAATTCCAGGGCTGAAATGAGCAAAATTATTCTAGTGAACAGGTATAGAGTTTAAAAACACAGTGGAGCATATTTTGTATTACCAGATAAGATCACAAGATGAACAGTGTTTTTATTCTGGGAGAAGAACTCAGCATAAAGGTGCAAAGTTTGTTTGTTGACATGTGTGAATGAAACAAAAAATAACTCCAGGTGTGTTTGTGATGAGGAAACAACGATGTAACATAAATCTGAAAATTGCGTAAAATTATATGGGCCCTTTAAATGTCTATTTGGTAATTACTCAAATAAGATTGTATTGTATATAGGCTACCTAATTATAATGAAAACTAAATAATAATGACCAATAGGCATCTACAGCCAGTTTGATCACTGCCAACCTCCCATTCACTGACAAAGTGAGTGAAGTGTCTTGCTCCAAGGAGTATGCATTACCTGTAGTGTGAAATGAACCAACAACCTTTGGGTTAACATGACAATAGTAACAATAGTAAGATCAGCCAGGTGTTTTAATACTACTGTTTTGATGCTGTCACAAAAATAACTTGGTATTGTGAATGAATATTTATGTAGTGATGCAATCTCTTTTCATGTGCTAATCATTCAATCCAATGAATAAACTGAATTTCAAACAGCCCCAGACTAAAATAGTTGGTATTATTGAACTCGAGTACCTCTCACAGACTGTGTCATTTAGCTTCTCTTTTTCCACAGACGCCCTGCCTCACTCTGTCACGGTCTGGCTGCACAAACAAACCTGTTACCCATAATTCAGCTACACAAGGTCAAGAGTAAACACAGCGGCGAATGTAATCTTTTAAGGCTCCGGCGTCTCTCAACTGGGACAAGTGGATCTATGTCTGTATAATGTTTCACTGTGGCCGCCAACACAAGCAAGATAGGGTTACTTTGACAAACATCACAGGAATGCTTTGGCAAGACATGTAATCTGCAGTAAAAATCTGAAGAGACACTCGCAGTCAACAGATTGGCCCTGGATTGTTGGTTGTAAATCAATTAGATAATCTCCGCATTGACTGTTTCCTTATTTTTGTAGTCATAAAGTTACATTCATTGTCAACTCGCATGCAGAGATGGAATGTAGTCAGTGTAGCCAACTGTATTGTCCTCATAAGGAAGATGGGTCGCAGATGTGGGTCTTATTATCAATATTAAAGCCCCAATAAATTAGGGATACACTGATACCAATTCTGGTATCGAATATATGCACCAATAATGAAACATTTCCTGGATCAGATATTGGCTTCCAAATATCGGTTCAGCTGATATCCTGGTTGGACATACAGTATAAATGTATGTGATAAGACTATTTACTGGTCATAGTTGGCCCAGAAAGTCTCACAATCTTTGAACTTTTGTTTACACAAAGTTGTTTTGTGGTTTGTATAGAGATAAATAACAGCTGCACAACACATTTGGATCTGATTTATCTCGTTTTATCTTTCCATTTGCCACAGAAATGTTCTTTTGTCTATAATCTTCACAGTATGGCACAAAACGTATCTATCTCCATAGCGAATGTTCCCTCGTACGGTTTTAACTTTCTATTTCCACAGAATCAAGCAGGTAACTTCTCACCTCACCTTTAACATAAGACACTGGCTTATTACACTTATAATACTGTATAATATATATTTGTGAATTGTGACAGGGAGCTGGAGTGCCTAAGAGACCTGTATGTTATTGGTCAATAGCATAGTAGTAGCTGTAGAAGTAGTAGTAGTAGTAGAAATACTGGTTCAATTCGTCATGTTTGTTGAACCCACAATCACAACTGTAGCTCCTCCTCAGAGATTAACAAAATTACAGATTTAACCAACTGAAAGTTAGAAAGTGGAACGGTAGCTATTAATAGTTTTAGTTCTGGTGTAAGCATAAGATTTTGCTTATTGCCTTGCAGTCTTGAAAATGTCACAGATAATCACATGTTGCCAACACCAAAATATTGAGCAACTTTAATTTAGTTCTTCTAGTTAATTTCAGTTCTTCTAGTTTATTTGAATGGACATGATATGATATATGACTTGAGTGCAGTCTGCTTGCATCAACACATAATGTCTTTCTCACATGGCCCAATGGTACAATTAGGTTTTTCAACAGTTAGCACTTATAGCATTGTGAGGATAGTTATTACGTTAATTTAGTGTCCATGGTAGCGCTCTTTTGCCTGAGCACACTGCAGTTGAAGCACAAAAGTAGTATTTACAAGTGGCTTATTATTTGCTCTTGTTGCATCACTAGGCCCAAGGCACACTCCACAATGATAACGTAGAGATTTGCTCAATTGTTAAAAGCAGCAATGCACTAGCCCTGACCTCAGCAAATACATGCAAATATATAAGCCTTTTACCTAAGTCTGTGATGATAATATTCATAATTTATGCCACTGACTCAATAAACCAAGAGCAGATTTAAAAATTTTCTAAATGTACAATATTGTAAAAAAAATAAATAAATAATGATTTGCAATTAATAATCAGAATTAAACACTTTAGTGCTTAGTTTGCATCTGTAATAAGTCACAGAAGTTTTTAATTCTACCTTTTACTGCTTAAATCTTATTTATTCAGCCAAAAAAAATATCCAAAGAATTAACAGTAGTGCAAAGAAAATGTGCATGTGATAAATACTGACCCCCCCAAATTATTGTTCCACCTTTCATGTACTGAAAGATAAGTCCATATAGTAATTATCATGACAGGTCTATATATACCATGGTAAGTGAGAATTTGAAGGCATTATTTATATATAACCACTCAGGTATATACTGTTCTAGACTCAGCGCCAGTGTGTTAAAACAGTCTAATGCACTGCTCTTCATTTTACGATATTCCAGTAATCAATAATTCAGTAAGAACAAGTCACGACCCAAGATTTTATTTAGCCAGGTTTCCTGTGGACATTGCAATATTCTTCTATGAACAAACAAGTCTATTGGATATGTCTTTGAGTGTTTATTGAGCGCTGAAGGCAGGAGTGTCAGACTGGGGCACTGTTTACCTACGGCCCAAGGGCTACACCCGTGGCTGAAGAAATCTTACTCTGTCTTTGGGCAATGTGATAATAATAAGAATACTAATACAAAACACTTGTATAGAGCTTTTCATGACACTCAAAGATGCTTCACATAGATCGGGAGAGACACGAAGACAAATGAAAGAAAAAGATAAACAGGAGATGCAGTTTTTAAATGCAGTTTTGAACAGATGAGTTTTCAACGTGC